TCTGGGGGCTGACTCAGCATAGGAGTCCAGACAGGTACCCTCTGAGCTCTATCTCCAGAGCCTGCAATCCTGGATTCTCCTCACACAGCTCTAGTCCACTCTGCCCTCTCTCTTTGCCAGAGCCCAATGTGAGTTGCTGCACACAAAACTTTTTGTGTTGGCCCTTTAACAGGGTGTCTGCGTTTCCAGCTGTCTCTCCCTGGCAGATAGAAACCTGGCTGCTTTTCATATCCTGATATTATGTGGGCACCTTTCTCAGTTCTGGTACTTTGGGCTGAGGAGCCCAGCTTTGGGTTTAGACCCAGAGTTCTCAGTGGGAACCCTCCACAGTTGAGATATCCCTCTGGAACCTCAGCTGCTGCCTGTGGGAGCCCAACCAGCTCTCGCACCTCCACGCTTCCTACCAGTCTCTATGCAGTCTCCACCTTACATCATTGGTTATAAGAGTTCTCTTCAGATAGTAGTCAGTTGATTATTCAGGATGGTTTTTCTATATTTTAGTTCTGATTCCAGTTTGGTCCTAGGAGAGTGTCAGTGTAGCTTCCACTCAATCTGCTGGCATCTTGATTCTTCCCTGTTCTTGATTTTTAATCAAAAGTATCAGTATGAACTCATTTTAATTTTATCTTAAAATGGTATGTACATTAAATATGTATTTTTGTACAAATGTATATGTATAATGTCAATCTGAGAATTTCTATCTTTTTTATGGAATAAAGCCAATGAATATTTATGTGATATTTTAATTTTAACATTTCCTATCTATCTACTGAAAAGTCCCAGGAGTGAGCAAACCTATTTGCAGAATGTGGTCTTGACATGCTGTTGACTTCTAAAAGAATCCAGGGCTCCACTGATAAATAAATCCTTCATTCCAGGTCTGGGGCATGAAATACATACAGTGATCCTGGAATATTTTTATACCATCAACACCTACTAACTAGAGGCCATGATAAAAAGATTCAGTAGCCGCCCTGCTGGTGTGGCTCAGTTGGTTGGGCATCTTCCTGTGTACCAGTAGGCTGTCAGTTGGATTCCTGGTCAAGGGCACATGCCCAGGTTTCAGGCTCAATCCCTGGTAGGGGACATGCAGGAGGCAGCCCATTGATGTTGTGCTCTCACATTGATGTCTCTCTCTCCCTCTTTCTCTCTCTCTCTAAGAATCAGTAAACTATTTAAAAAATAAAAGAACCCAATTTGAAGAGACTGTTGAGTGACCAACTCTCCCAGTTTTAGAAATGAAAGTTCTGTGTCCCAGGGAACCTCTCAGTCTCCCACAGACGTGTACATTTGATCACTTTCAGAGGCTCCCATTCACCAAAAGTTGGGACAATGTGAACATCTGTAAGGATAAAAGCTACAGTGGATTGGCATCCTTTATCATGCTTAAATCTGTGAGTTCATAATGATAGCCAAAGCAAAACCAACTAATTGTTTATCTTTGGTGGATATTAGGAAAGCAGTTTTTAATTTTGGAAACTGATAAACCATGCGAAAGGGTCAAGTATTTATTCTTACTTTTCTGTGTGATCAGTACCACTGCCTAAATGAATAGTAGATGGAGTAAAGGTTTTTTTAATTGAGAAAATTTATATGCTAGCAAATAAAGACAAAGTGATAGATTGAAGTATCACCATTTTGCAATCACCGTTTTATTGGATTTTTACATTCAGTGTCAGTGGTTGCTAACAGCACTAAAAGAGAGAAATCATGTATGTGTTATAAGTATTCTACCACCTAATGAATGATCTTGCCCAAAATATTAAACCTGAGTCTGATGAAACTGCCTGTATCCAACTACTAACATATAGGAAGTATAGAAGACAGTGGAACATGTTAAACTACACTGTGGTATGCTATCAAGAATGTCCATTCTGGGGGAATCGTATAGGACAGATGATCCAATATATTCATTGGATTGCACACACAAAAAAGAGAGAGAAATATGGCTAGGGAATCTATATACATTTAAAAGGGCAAAATTAACTTATAGCATTTATGTATATACATTTCAGTAATATAATCATAAATACAAGTAAGGAAGTGATTACCACACAAGCCAGAATAGTGGTTTCTTTTGGTTGGGATAAGTAGAAGGAGATGGATGGAGAGTTTTGTGATTGGCACGGGGTTACATGGAGGGCTTCTTTCTCCTGATCATAGTGGCTGACATAGTTCTTTCTCCTGATCTGTGTGGTGGTTCCAAGTTCATTTAGCTATAATTTCTGTATGTGATTTTCTATATTGTATTTACATCTATCTATCTGTATATTTTTAAAGACTTTATTTTTTTTAAACCAATTTTAGTTTCACAGCAAACTTGAGAGGAAAATACAGAGAATTCCCATATTCTCCCTGCACCCACACATGCATAGCCTCCTCCTTAATCACCATCCTCCACTAGAGTGGTACCTTTGTTACAATTGATGAATCACTTAAAGTCCATAGTTTACGTTAGGGTTCACTTTTGGTATACATTCTATGGGTTTGAACAAATGTATGATGACATGTATCCATAGTATCATACAGAGTATTTTCAGTGCTCTAAAAATCTCTGTTTTCTGCTTATTCATCCCTCAACCACTGACCTTTTTACTGTTTCCATAGTTTTGGCTTTTCTAGAATGTCACGTAGTCAGAATCATATAGTATGTAGCCTTTTCAGATTGGTTTCTTTCACTTAGTAATATGCATGTAAAGTTCCTCTGTGTCTTTTCATAGCTTGACAGCTCATTTATTTTTAGTGCTGAATAATATATCTGTATTATATTTTATAATAAATTTTAAAATAAAAAATAAGGAAGGAAAAGTAATTGATTGGAGTGGAGGCAACTATATTAGGAAATGGTGAGAGGTGATGCCCTATAGATTATCTAAGGCTTGTTGACTGAGGGTTTTATTGAATGCTATTTTGAGAATATTCAACATAATAGGCCAGTGAAGTTTATTAAAAATGGGGCTGGAGTGCTGAAAACTGTTTATAAGACAATAAATCTGGCAGAATGGATTTCAGAAAACTATCCAGGAGACCACAGTATTAAGGTGAAGGTGATAAGCGTTTGGATTAGGGTGATGCTTGTAGAATTAGAGATAAAATAACTTGTGTTATGCAGCAGAAATGTAGTCAGTAAGACTTGGTGATAGATTAAGTATGGTTAAAAGTAAAAGCATTAGAAATAAGCTCAAAGATTTCATGTTTGAGGCTATATCCTTTATTGGGTAGGTACTGGGGAATTCTGGTGGACAATTCTAACTGAATAGACTAAAATAAGATCTGTATTTCTCCTCATAATGTATTTATAATCCCAGAGGAGTGATTGCTAGGGACTCTACTTTCCAAATGGTCCATCTAAAAATTCAGTCAGACAAGCAAGAAACTGTTAATGGTGGTTGTTTGGGGAAGTTCATAATTGGGACATAGAGCTATGAGGGTGACTTTATCTTTTTTATCTTTTGAATTTTGAATCATGTGTTTATATTACCTATTCAGAAAATAAATAAAATATAGTAATTAAAAGATAATGGCCCACCCTAGCCAGTTTGGCTCAGTGGTTAAAATGTTGGCCCTTAGACTGAAGGGTCCCAGGTTTGATTCTGGCCAAGGGCACATACTTCGGTTGCAGGCTCGATCCCCTGCCCTGGTTGGGGTGCATGCGGAGGCAACCAATTGATCTGTTTCTCTCACATTGATGTTTCTCTCTCTCTTTCTCTCCCACTCTCTCTGAAAAGCAATGGAAAAAATATCCTCAGGTGAGGATAAAGAAGAAAAAAAAAAAAAAGTTTCCCAAATCTACTTTCCAGAGGGAAATTCTTATTTGTCATTGACTTTTATTATTTTAAGTACTTCAGACTATAGTTACTCATAAAAGCAGTATTAAACATGTTTAATACCTGGTTGCCTTTGACTTATAAATGTTTGTAAACGTATATTTGATTTTATGTTTATGTTTGTATGTGTTGTGTGTATGCATGTTGTGGGTGCATGAATATGGCTGTGTGGCTCTGGTGTGTGTGTGTGTTTCATTCAGGAAAAAAAATGTTTGTAGCTAGAGCCTCAGGTACCCTCTCTTCTTAGTGCTTTTAATTTTTATTGCTACAAGTTGGGATTTTCCTCTTAGATGGGAGATGCTCTTTTCAGCCAGCTTTAGGGCCGTTCAAAGATGGTGGTGATGCTACAGCATGGACTATCTCTCTTTTCCATTATCACTGCTGAAGCTGAAGGTCATTACATATATGTTATTCCATCAGTCTCCCTTCCCCTCACTCTCTCCAGGCAATTATCCTGGATCCTGCTTCTGTAGTAAAGTGCCTTGAAATACATCAGCCTTTATTTCATGTCTTAGTCTTTTGGATAGGTAAAGAACCAGTATTAGATCTGATAATGAAATTGTAATAGGAGGTGACATATATGGTAGTTTTTTAAAAATAACTTTTTCTTGCATAATTGTTAGTGATAAAAAATTAGGAAAATTCAAGTAGGGCATGCTTATTCTTTAAGGTCTAGTAAAATTGGGGAGAAGTTATAAGCCCGTTCCCCTAGTGACCTAGAAAAGAGAAACCAGGATTGGAAACAATAGGAGGCCATAGTAGGAAGCTGGGCAGTCCTAGCACAGTGGTTGTCAGTTTTGGCTGCACATTGGCACCACTTGAGAATATTAAAAAACAAAAACAAAAACTCATGCTTAGTTCCCACTGCTAGAGGTTCTCATTTAATTGGTCAGAGCCATAGTCTGGCCGTTGGAACTTTTTGAACCTACCCACTTGAAAACCATGGGCCTAGAGAAGAAAACTGGTGTAGGACTGAAGAGAAGAGTCCCTGAATTTTATTGCATCTCAATCCCGAATTCTAACCATTTGAGAGTTTATTTTGAAATTATTCTTTTTTTAAGACTTGTGATTGTTTAGGTTAGCGAATGGTAGAAAACAAAATAGACAATGAATCTGTAGCATTTGGAAAGAACGGACAGATTTGCATACTTATTGAACCTGATATTTGTACAGGTTGCCTGTGATTTGCTTCGGAGAATAATTCGCATCTTGCATCTCAGTAAGAGACTCCAAGGACAACTGCAGGGGGGAAGTAGAGAGATAACAAAAGCTGCCCAGAGTCTCAATGAACTTGGTAAGTCCTTTTGAGTACAAAGTTAGTAGAGTTTTAAATGTTTTTTTAGTCATTTGATTTGTTGACTTTTGTTACGTTATCACCATTAACAAATATTATTGAGCAAACTTATTTAATAATTGACTGTTTACAACGTTGTCACACTTTTCAAAATGGGTAAAACTAGTTGATTTCTTAGAAATGCTGTTTATTTTTCAAACTATAATATAGTATAATTGGTCTTTTTAAAATACAGACCTGTGAATTTTAACATATGTATAGATTCACGTAACCTTCAGCACAGTCATGATACAGAATAGTTCCATCACCCCCAAATTCCCTCATGATTTCCCTTTATAATAATGCCTACCCACCCCCCACTCCTTACCCCTAACCTTGGCAGCCACCCATTGGTTCTGCATCACTGTAATTTTGTCTTTTGGAGAATGTTACATAATGGAATCATACATAATCTTTTGAGGCTGACTTCTTGCACTCAGCATAATACCTTTGAGAATTATCTAAGTTTTTGTATATACTGTAGTGTGTTCCTTTGTGTTTGTTGGAATACTGTTGTGTGGTTGTATCACTGTTTATTGATTCACTGGTTGAAGGAAATTTGCGTTGTTTTCAGTTTTTGGTGATTATGAATAGAGCTACTGTAAACATTCGTGTACAGGTTTTTAGGTGAACTTAAGTTTTCATTTCTTTAGGAGAAATATCTAGGAAAAATGCTGTGTTTAGGTGACAAATCCCATGTTGACATTATGTCTAGAAGATATATTGAATTCATTTCTTTATTCCTTATTTTCCAAAATATTTAGAGTATACACTTGACATTCAAGGGTTTAATATTCATGGTTTTGACTATCAACAAGCTTCAAGGTCTGTGATGAAGCAATTCATTATTTTTCAGGCAAAACTTTGAATAGCTATTGAGTGCTCGTAGAACTATCTAACACCTGAATTTTAATGAGGATTTGTGGGGTTTTTGCAAGAGGCACAAAGTAATTTTTCTGAAGTGGATGTGGTTAGTAGTATTTGTACCTTTGTAGGTTCAAAAGGTCTTTGATTATATTTGTCTCAAATATCAAGATTCTACTTAGTCTTGGTGATGTGGTTTGAAAGTAGTTATGGCAAAATAATATCAGAAAGATGTATATTGCATGTTTTTTTAAAATTTTCTGTCTTTGATATTTTAATTAGATAGTCATGCTGTAATGATTATTCCATATTTTTTATGAAGGAAATGTAATATCCTTCACAAATTATGTTTCAACACATTTCAGTTTATAATGCTTAAATCATTGCTTAAGCACATCATTGGGAATATATCTAACTTGTGATTTGTAATGCTGGGAAAATATTGTATAAATAGTTTTTAGCAGTGAGTAATGATTGCTTTTTTTTCAGTCTGTGTGCTAAATTTAGGAGTATAAAAATCCTAGTATCAGCAGTTATTTTTTGCTTTATCAAATTTAATTTCTGTGCTCCAGAAATAATCTCTAGGATAATAGAATCAGTAAAAACAAATTATTCCAAGGTTTATTTTATATATTTGTTATCATTAATACTCTTTCATAATAAAAAATTGCTAGATTTTTATTATGATTATCATATCTTCTAGAAACAGTAGATGCTGTAATGCAAGTGGTGATGTCTTCTTTTTAAAAAACAGGCACAAATGCTTTGAGTTAGTGCAGTGAAGAATATAAACCCATTTTCCTTCCAATGAAGTGTTGGCTTTACCTCAAATTTTATAAATATGATGATGAGAGGTTGTTGAGAAAGTACAGTTTGTGGTGGGTTTATCTCAAAATGGATTGTATTTAAATTTTTAAAGCTTTAAAGATCATGTGTTATTCAAAATTTGTGAAGGCATTATCTCTTTATTCACCACTCTTGTTTCAGTCTTGACTAGCCCTAGCATTGATAATGAGAAGCCAAGAGGGAAATAAAGTTTCTACATTTGGAATTATTATTTTAATAGAAGGAATAATTTGATAATCACTATTACAATTATACATGTATCTAAATGATATTTTTTTGATTGGAATGTCTCTGAAATTATCAATGTCTATATCAGTATGAGTCAGGTTCTCATTAGAAAGAATAAAATTATGAAGAGTATGGATATTTATACCATAAGCCCTTGAAATAAACTTAAAAGCAATTTCTCAAACTTGAAAGGTCTTGAGGCTTGAATTGCAGTGACCAGATAAAATAGTTGTCATCTAGAAATTTCTTTTGGGGGTGATGAAAATGTTCTGGAATTAAATAGTAGAGATTGTTATACAACCTTGTCCATATACAAAAAAGCCGGTGAATTTGTACTTTAAAATGTTGAATTTTTGTTATGTGAATTAAATATCAATTTAAAAAGTATATTCTGTTACTAAGTGACAATAATCTAACACTGATACCTTTTCTTTTTATTAAATTGAGGTCTATGTGACATATAATAAACTGCCCATATTGAAAATGTAGAATTTGGTTAAGGTTTGACATGAAACCTTTGCCAATATCAAGATAGTGAACATAACTGTTATCCCCAAAAGTTTCCTCATGCCCCTCGGTAATACCTCCTCAGGCATTTAGTGATCTGATTTTTGCCACTATAGATTGGTTGGCACTTTAAAAAATTTTATATGATTGGAATCATACAGTTTGTATGTGTTTTTGTTTGGCTCCTTTCAGTCAGCTAAATATTTTGAGATTCATTCATGTTGTGTGTATCAATAGCTCTTTCCTTTTTATTGCTGATAGTATCTCATTGTATGGCTATCCCACAGTTGGTTTATCAGTTTCCCTGTTGATGGAAATTTGGGTGGTTCCTAGTTTTTGGCTATTACAAATCAAGCTACTATGAACATTCATGTACAAATTTTTGTATGGACATATGCTTTAATTTCTCCTTGATAAATACATAGGAATGGAATGGCTGGATCACATGGTAGATGTATGTTTACCTTTTAAGAAATTGCCAAGGTGTTTTTCAAAGTAATTGTAACATTTCACATGCTTAGCAGTAGTGTATGAAAATTCCATTTCCCCCACATCCTTGCCAACAGTTGTTATAGTCAGTCTTCTTAATTTTAGCCATTCTAATAGGTGTGTAGTGGTATCTTGTTTTGAGTTTACCAAAAAAATTACTAGAACTAATAAAGAGTTTCAGCAGGATTTCAGGATATAAGATCAATATATAAAATTAGTTTTATTTCCATATACTCTACTGTTAACAAGCAAATGGACATTGAAATTCAAAAATAAGTAGCATCAAAAATATGAAATACTTAAGGTTGAATTTGAGAAAAGATACACAAGACCTGTACACTGAAAACTAGAAAACACTGTTGAAAACAATTAATGAAGACCTAAATAAATAAATAAATAAATAATTGTTTGTGAATTGGAAGACTAAATAATGTTTATTAATATGCTAATTCCCTTTAAATTGATCTGTACAGATTCACCACAGTTACATTCTGAATTCCAGCAGGCTTTTATTTAGAAATTGACAAACTGATTTTTAAAATCACATGGAAATACAAAGGATCTAGAATAACCAAAACTTTTCAAAGAAAACAAAGTTGGAGGATTAACCCTATCTGATTTGAAGACTTATTACAAAAGACTTACAGTAATCAAGACCAAAAGGTTGACAGGATAGAATGGAACAATAGAGAGCTAAGAAATAGACCCCGACATACACGGTGGTTCCTTGGTTTTCGAAAGTCTCCTTTGACAAACATTTTGGTTTACGAATGCTGTAAACCCGGAAGTAGACGCTTCGGTTTTCAAACTTGCCTCGGAAGGTGTACATGCCACATGGCTCCTGCTGAGCGCCAGATCCCGAGCCTAGCTGCCAGCTGTTGAGTCCTTAGTTTTTGAACTTTTCAGAACTCGAACGGTCTTCTGGAACGGGTTACATTTGAACCCCTGTATAAAGAACTGATTTTTGACATATTTAGTGGAAAAAAGAGGTCTTTTCAACAGATGGTACTGCATCAATCAGATATCCATATGCAAAACAGTGAACTTGTATTTACACCTCATTTCATTTTTAACTGAAAGTGGATCATAGTCCTAAATGTAAAATTTCAAACTATGAAACTACAAGGAAACATAGAAGAACATTTTTGTGACTTTAAATTAGAAAATTATTTCTTAGGTATATCACCCAGAGCATAATTCACACACACAAAAAGGATAAATTAGATTTTATCAAAATTTAAATTCTGTCCTTTGAGTGATACTGTTAGAAGAAGAGATAAAACATGACAGGGAGAAAAGTTTTGCAAAGTATATGTTTGATAAAGTACTGTGTCCAGCCTATATTAAAAACTCCCTAATCTTGGTAAGAACAAAAACAATCCAATAAAAAAATAGGCAAAAGATTTGAACAGATACTTCACAAAAGATGATATATGGGTGGCAGATATGCATATAAGATGTTCAACATTATTGGGCAATAGGGAAATTAAAATTAAAATCATACTAGTGTCATATTGACAGAATAAGCAGAATTATTTTAATACAGACATTGTAATTTTTTTATACAGATTATTATGTAATGATTAAAAAATAAAACTACATAGTGTACATTTCAGGATTAAATTGTATCACATTGGTTTATGACTTCTTTAAGAAGAGTTGGGATTAGATGAAAATTGAGCTGGACTTTACTACATTGGTAAGATAATGTACTTAAATATATGTATATTTTTATAATGCTACCAGGTACCTTTTAAAATTGTTAGCCCGACTAAGCAGGAACCCTACATAATTCATAAGTTTGATACTTTTCACAATATTTTAAGCATTTGGTAAACTATCATTGTGAACCAGAGTAAGGGAGCTCTTTTTAAATTCATTTAGTGTAAAAGCACTTAAGATTAGAAACATTGGAAAGGTTCTCATAATATCAGTATATCTGGATCATCAGGTTTGTTTATTCCATGAAATGTTTTTGTGCTTATTCCATGTTGAATTAGCACTGTAGTGGTGAAACCAGAAAGTGT